GTGGTTCCTCATTCTGGCTGTGAAAGCTTTCTGATCCAGACCCTGAAACTGTGGAGAATACATACCTGCTTGCGTAGCCAAATCCCTCAAATATTTTATACCTTCTAGTATGTGTCCCATTTTTCAATATCACCTTCTCAGTCTATTGGGGAAGGGTACTTGTTTCCTACTGCTAGTCTCGTTGCATTCCACAACAATCCAGTTTCCCTATGTTTCTAAAGAGACTATTCATTTGTGGATCAACACTTAGTGATCTCAGATTCCCTCACTCTGTGGCACTCAGCATAATATGGGTGGCACCCTGGTCCCACGACCACGTCAACAAAGAGGCCAAGGGTTCGCCCGACTTCTGCTTAAAGCGTGACCCCATATCCTGAAATTCGGACATAGAGTAATCTCTCACTGTTGTCGAATTTTGTGGGTTTTGACCTCCTATTTGTTTTGCCTTATTTGTTATTAGGGATCATGTTATCTGTCCCTTCTCTGAGGATGGCTCTGGAGGTGAAGCATCCCTTTCCCCATCTGCCCATTCATACTCTGAATCAGATGAATACCAAATGTCCCCATCCCATTGCAAGGTTAATAATACATACACTTTGACTAGGTCAACTTTCCAATTGTGCTGTTTGCTCTCTTTTTCTGTTGTACTGTCACCAGACAGCATACTGTCTGGTTCTGTTTCTCCTCTGCCTTCTCAGTTGTCTCCTGCGCTGTCATAACTGCTTCTGTTAGGATAACATTACACTGTTCCACTGCTGTCAATGTGGCCTCAAACTGCCTGCATCTGGCCTGGCATTCTTCCAATTCCCTACATGTAGAACGCAAAGTGTTTAACAATATCCATCCCATTTGTGGTACACTGTCCTTGCTTTTGGGGAAGCCTGCCTCCCACAAGCACTCGTGTTACAGCCGCCTGTGTGAATAACCCTCCTTTCTCTCTATTTCTGGTTATGACTGTCCTCCATTCTTGTGGGGTTCCTAATTGTGCTACAAAACTAGCCACAGACCCAGTTGAGAGTCTGTTGCATTCAATCCTGGAATTAGGAAGGTCTCCAGAGCATCAGGTTGCCTTTCCCCTCTTAAATATTTTCCCAAATCCCATCCTCTTTGCCAAAAAGTGTCTTGGATCACAGGGTGTATCCAAGTGGTTCTTTTCAGGTTCGGGTAAATATAATTAAGAGAAGGCTCAACAACAGCAATTTGCTTAAATAGGATTGTTTATTAAGTAGTAATGATTGATTATAATGGCAATAATAAATGATTATAGTGGTAATAATAAATGGAAGAGGAGAAAAAAGCAACAAGTCTCACGCCTTTGTAGAAATAGCAACAAGTCTCATGTTCTTGTGGCTGTCGGGGACCCCTCAATCAGTGGCTGGTCTGGAGGCTTAGGTTCGTTCCTGGCACTGTTCACGATTCCGAGCCGAAGCGAGGTCCAGCAGCAGTAGCAGCAGCTTGGAACGAAACTCTCTCTCTCTCTCTGTTATACAGTGTGACAAACAGCCAGCGTAAAAAAAAGCAGATACAGCAAGACAAAACTGCTGGCTGGCACAGACAACACTGGATGGGAAAACAAGTGCTGGTGCCATCTTTGGCTCACAAAGGAATGTTCACAGGATCATTCAAGGTCATGCAGCTTGTTAAGTATTAGCAACAATTTTAGCCATTCAACCCATCCTATACAATCTGTCTTCTCATGCAGCTGTCGAATATCATCATTAACTTTTAGCCCGTCGGCCCATCCTGTACAGTGTCCTTGTTATCCAGGTGTTCCAGGAATGAGTGCAGGGCCAGGAAGATGGTGTCTGCCGTGGACCTGTGGCAACAATAGGTGAATTGTCGTGGATCAAGGCAATGTGGGAGGCTGGAGGTGATGTGTGTCATTACTGACCTCTCAAAGCACTTCATAATGATGGATGTCAGAGCCACTGTGCAGTAGTCTTAAAGGCGTGCTGCCTGATTTTTCTTCGGCACTGGGATGGTAATGGTCTTCTTGAAGCAGGTGGGAACCTCAGATCAGAATAAGGAGAGGATAAAGATGTCTGTAAATACTCCCACCAGCTGGCCCACACAGGTTCTGAGTGCACAGCCTACCAGCTACAGAGCTAGTGATTGTCTCATGCTCCATCTCTTAGGGAAGGTCCATCAGTTTGTCTGCCAGTCAGGCAGTTGCAAGGACAGTGGCAGGCCTTTCTCTGTGATCTGGTCTCTGAGGTGCAAGTCCTGCCAGTAAGAGGCCATGCGTTTCATGGAAGAGCATCCCCAAAGTCCCAGGACCCAGGAGCAAAGGAAGTGATATTGGTGTGCTCTTACATCGTACAATTGTTACGTCTCCTGCCATAGGCAAAGAATCAGCTACAATGTCTTCTCTTTCTGCCTCTGCACTGTTATTGCTGGTGACCCCCAAGGATCAAACCTTGACTGCCTCCTATTTCCCATTTAAATGCCTGCTATCATTTTCGATTCCTGACCTAAACTTTGTTCTCTAGCTACCAACTCCATTCCTCCCTCTGGCAACTGCCTGAAGTGGAACCAGTTTATTCACAAGATTGATGTCCAGTTTGGTCCTGAGATGAACTTCCTACTTCATATTCATACCATTGCTAAGACCATCACCTCTGTAACTTTACTTTGTCCCTTGAGTCAGAGAAAGAGTCATGGAGACTTGTACAGCATAAAAACAGGCCCTTCGGCCAACCATGAATATAACAATCAACAAATACCAAACTATATACTAATCCTATTTACCTGTACTTTGTCCATAACCCAATATGCCCTGGTATTTTAAGTGCTTGACCAGATGGTTCTCTGAAGTTGAGAGTACCCTCCTCCATCACCCTCAGGCAGCACCTTCAGATGTGAAAAAGTATTTCCTCAGATCACTAAACCACTTAGTCCTCACCTTAAACTTATGTCCTGTGGTCTTAGACATGTCAGCCATGGGGAAAAGATTCTTATGAGCTACCCTATCCTTGCATCTTGTAATATTGTATACTTCAATCAGATCCCTCCCTCAGCCTCCTCTCCTCCAGGAGAAACAAACTCAGCCTATCCAGTCCGTCCTCGTAATTGAGATTTTCCATCCCAGGCAACATCCTGGTGAATCTCCTCCACACCCTCTCCAATGCAGTAATGTCCTTGTGATAATGTGTCAACCAGAATTGTACACAGTATTCTATCTGTGACCTAAACAATACTCTGTAAAGTTGCAACAAGACTTCGCTGCTCCTGTATTCTATGTCCAATTAATGAAGGCAAACATCCTACATGCCTTCTTCACCACACTAGCCACTTGTGCTGACACCTTCAGAGATCAGTGGACCTGTGGACCAAGGTCCCTTTGTTCCTTTTTACTCCCTAGGGACTAACTATTCATTGTTTAAATCGTATCCTATTGGACCTCCCAAAATGCATCGCCTCATACTAATTAGGATTAAATTCCATCTGCCATTGCTCTGCTCAATTTACCAGCTGATCAATATCAGACTGTAGTCTGAGATGGTGCTCCTCACTGTCAACAACACCATCAATTTTTGTGTCATCTGCAAACTTACTAATTATACCTTCTACATTCACATCCAATTTGTTAATGTATATAACAAACAGAAAGGGTCCCAGCATCAATCCTTGTGGTATAGCACAGCCACAGGTTTCCAATCAGAAAAACAACCCTCACCATCACCTTTTGCCTCCTATTTTGAATCCAGTTTCCCAACTTGCCTTGAATTCCATGGACTGTTACCTTTTGGACCAACCTTCCATGTGGAACCTTGTCACTTATTGAAGTCCATGCAGACCACATCAACTGCACTATCCTCATCAATATATTTAGTATTTTTTCAAAAAACTCAAATTAGTCAGACAGTATCGTCCTTTAAAAATCTATATTGACTATCCCTGATCAATCCCTGCCTTTCCAAGTGTTGAGTAATCCTGTCTGTCAGAATTTTTTTCTAATGATTTCCCTACCACTGACATCAGATAAATTGATCTCTAATTATCTGACCTATCCCTGCTACCCTTCTTGAACAAAAGAACTACATTAACCATCCTCCAGTTATCTGGCACTTCACCTGTGACCAGTAAAATATTAACTATCTCAGCCAGGGCTCCAGCAATCTCCTCCCTTACCTCCTGTAGCAGCCTGAGATACATGTCATCAGGTTTTTGGGGATTTATGCAACTTTGACCTGCTAAAATATCTAATACCTCCGCCTCATCATACTTAACATGCTCTAGAACTTCACCATCCCAATTGAAATCCCTGGCTACAATGTCCTTCTGACTTTGATTATACAGATGAGAAATATTTATGTAAGACCTCACCCACGTCATTTGGCTCTACGCACAGGTCTCTATTGGACCCACTCTTGCTCTTAATATACTTATAAAATACCTTGGGGTTTTCCTTAATTCTATCTACCAAGGATATTTTGTGGATATTCTTTATCCTCCTAATTTCTAAATTTCAGAAATCCACCCTCATTTTCTCCTAATTAAGCAATCCCTACACATAGACTTACCTGCAAGTAGATGCTCCCTTTCTAATGATATTGAAATTGGCCTTCTGCCAATTTAGATACTTCTAAATTAGGTTAATTTAGAACTTTAGAACCTATCCTTATCCCTTTCCATAATGACTGTGAAACTTCGAGTTATGGTATTATTCCTAAAATATTCATCCATTGACACTTCAACCACCTGCCCGGCTTCATTCCCTAGAAATAGGGCTAGCACTGCCCTATTACCAGTAGAACTATTTAAGTTCTGGCACAAAAAGCTCTCCTGGTTATACTTTAAAAATTCCACCCTGTCTAAACCTTTCATAATCAGGCAATCCCAATTAACTTTAGCAATGTTGAAATGCCCTATACTAAAAAAACCTATTCCTTTCACATCTCCGTAATTTGCACACCTATCTGCTCCTCTATCTCCCTCTGTCTGTTGGGAGGCCCGTAGTATAAACCCACCAAAATGATTGCCTGTTTTTCATTTCTAAGCTGTGTCCAGACAGCCTCATTTGAAGAGCCTGGAAGACACCCTCCCTCACTCTGATGTTCATAAGGCTTCTCACCAACTTTTATAGATGCACCATAGAAAGCATTCTATCTGAATGCATCGCGGCTTGGAATGACAACAGGACCATAAAAATCTACAGAGGGTTGTGAACACAGCCCAGACCGTCACACAAGCCAACCTTCCATCCATTGACTCCATCTACAATTCTTTCTGTCTCGGAAAGGCAGCCAACATCATCAAAGGCCCCTCCCACCCTGGTTATAATCTCTTTCAACCTCTTCCGTCAGGCAGAAGATACAAAAGCTTGAACACAAGTACCACCAGGTTCAAGAACAGGGACCTCAAATTTCAAATCAAATGTTCATTTTGCTTCTGTGCATCTTCTTTGCAGCCATAACTTTGTATGCCTTGCTGCATTCAGTCACCCTATGATCTTTGTATGTTAAGATCTGTCTCTATTGCACGCAAAACAAAACTTTTCACTGTACCTAGGTATGTGTCAATAATAAATCAAATCAATCATTACTGCAGTGATGGCTTACTTTATCAATAATGCAATGCCCCCACCTCTCACAACTTCACCATCTCACCTGAAACTTCTATACCATGGAATGTTTAGGTGCCAGTCCCACCTTCCTTCAACCATGTCTCAGTGATTGTAACAATATCATTTTCCCAGATGTTGATCAATCTTCTAAGTCCATCTGCCCTTTCCAGTCAAGCTCCTTGCATTAAAAGATAGTTTAACTTTCTGAACCTCCTCTGAACCTTATCCTGCTCATGTCTTCTCCACCTGCTGGATTATCCTTATGTTCCTTCTATATCTGATTGATTCTTGGTCCCCAAATTTATATCTACTCTGTACCCCATTCCTCTACCAAATTAGCTTATATTGGACCCATTCCAGTTCAGGTGCAACCCATCCAGCTTGTATAGGTCCGACTTACCCCATAGACATCCCAATTATTCAAACGTCTAAAGCTGTCCATCATACACCATCCCTGTAGCCTCACATTCATCTGATTCCTATTCCTACACAACGTGGCACTGGAGGTAATCCATCAATTATAACCTTTGTAGTCCTCCTCTTTAAATTGAGTACCTAACTCTCTAAATTCCTGCTGCAGGGCCTCACTTAATCGTTTACCCACATCATTGGTATCAACATGTACCACGATTACTGACTTCACCCTCTCCATCAGACTGCACTGCACCCACTCTGAGACTTCCTGACCCTGGCACGAGGGAGACAGCATACCATTCAAGAGTCTCATTTGCTGCCCACAGAATCGAGTCCCCCGTCACTAAAGCTCTCCCAGCCTTTTCCTCCCACGCTGTGCAACAGAGCCAAACCTGGCTGCTGCTGCTTTCCTCTGAGAGGCCATTCCCCACCCCAACAATATCCAACACAGTGTGTCTGTTTGAGAGGGGAAAGGCCACAGGGACTCCTGCACTACCTGCCCACACTTACTAGTCTTCCTGGTGGTCACCCATCACTCTTCTGCCTGTGTTGGCCTTACCAGCTCACTAATCTGTCTCAGATCATCTGCTCAAACTCTCATTTAAGCCTTTGTTTCCTGTAGATGTAATTATTTTAATGCACTTTTGCTGGTCTCCCACATTCTCCCCTCGATAAACCTGAGGCTATCCAAACCCCTGCCTGCGATACCTTAATTTGCAGTAAGTCCTGTACCCCTATCACCCCTGTACTCACTGACCTACACTGACTTCTCGTCAAGCAATCTCGATTTTAAAATTCTCATCCTTATTTTTAAATTCCTCCATCACCTTACACTCTGTAACCTTCTGCAGGCCCCACAACCCTCTGTTCCCTGTGGTCCTCCAGTTCTGACATGTGGATCCCTAATTTCAATTGCTCCAACATTGGAGTCAGGACTTTACGAGATGGCGGCGACGGGGTCAGCAGCACTTGGCCCCTGAGCACAGGCTCTTGCGGCTTCGTCTTTGTCTTTCCAGCTCGGTAACTTGGTTTCTGTTTCGGTTGCCCTGGGGTCACCTCCTGTGGGAGGTCGGGGCCCCATGTATCTCCTTCCCTGCTCCCTTCCGGGTGGTAGCATTGAAAGACAAGCCAAGACCCGTCAGTCGATGTCCAGAGTCAGAGGAGGTGCAGGGCCCACACAGTGTAAGCGTCTCCAGCTCGGACATGGTGGACACGGAACTGATGGCGTTGGTAGCAGCAGAAAAGGAGCACATTGCCAGGACCCCAGGGAACATGTCTGATGGTGGCGACAGGAGGAGCAGAGAGGGTGAAATCTACCGATACCTGGATACTGATACGCGATCACTGATACCCGGTCACTGATACCCGGTCGCTGATACCCGATCACTGATACCCACTCACTGATACCCGGTCACTGATACCCGGTCACTGATACCCGGTCTCTGATACACAATCACTGGTACCCAATCACTGATACACAATCACTGATACCCGCTCACTGATACCCAATCACTGATACCAATGACTGATACCCGGTCACTGATACCCAATGACTGATACCCGGTCACTGATACACAATCACTGATACCCGATCACTGATGCCCGATCACTGATTCCCGATCACTGATACCCGGTCACTGATACCCGGTCATTGATACACGGTCACTGATACTCAATCACTGATACCCGATCACTGATACCCGATCACTGATTCCCGATCACTGATACCCAGTTACTGCTACCCAGTCACTAATACCCGCCTACT